ATACAAACTGGTAAAGCAGGTTAGTAGTTCCAGAATACGGGTTAGTAGCAAAATATCTATACAGTCTTTGGTATTGAAGTATCGCTGTATGGTTTACTGAGTCTACGTGCTTGCTCACTGTGACTCCTACAACGCTGTTACCTCACCCTCACTCTTCCGGTTACCCACAACCTTTACTTGTCACTCTGGGCTCGACTCGACTCCTCGGTCTTGCTCTTGTCTCGGGTCTTCACGTAGCCGTAGTATATCTATATACTGGGTGAGTCCATTTGTGTAAAAAGAGGTGGACCCCTCAACAGAAAGGTTTGGACTTTTAAGGAGGATAGAAGGTTCGAACTCCAAATCTTGTTATAAAGTATTTCCTGAACGTTGAAAACCCTATTTTTTTCTGATTTCAAACGCATTTCTCTAGTAAAATAATACTGATTTTATCTATTAAAATTATTTGCAACGCATTTACATTAGATATTTACATTAGATATATAACAGCATTACATTAGAAAGTTTACATTAATTCTACCAGCGAATGCTGAGAATACCATAGACAATGAAGCACTGTGGTCGGACATCCATATTGAAGAGGAAAGCTTGGTCTCGATCTCATTTGAAGTGGCATGCACTTGACAGAAGAGGAACAAGAGAACATACAGTTTAAGTAAATCATTTGAGGTCAAGTGACAACAAACCGAACATAGAGCGTTTCCGATTTCTGCCCTATATGAACAGCCTCTTCTATTTCCCACCTTGACAAGGGAATGGCTATTCTTTGAGTAGCTCCGATGCCGCCTGTTGGTGTTGCCAGCCACACGTCGGGACGTGTAGATAGCCTGGGAGTTGGTAGCGGGCTAGGGCTGATCTATGAGGCCGACATAGCAGAAGTTGTCACCAGTGTCACTCTACCTATACACCCAAACCGAGCAAGCGAAACCCTGAATAAAATGAACCTATTTTATGATGTTAGACTCAGTGTTCGTATTATTTTGCGTAATGGTGCAAATTTTATTCTTTCCTCTCCTCGGGAAGGTGCAGCGGACCTTTCTCGGACTGAACGAGAATCGAGACGAAAGGTGGGGTGTTCGGTCGGTGGAAAGCCGGACTAAGGTCGTGTTGTACATTTATAGACAGAACATTTAAGAAACTGTGAAGTTCTAAGAAGAGTAAAAACTGCAAAAAGCAACAAAGACAGACAGGTACGGCGAGCCAGGATCATCCCAGCAGCCTGAAAGTACATTTAAGATATCATATGTTCCCTGATACAACAAAGATCGCAGTTTATAAGTCATGCAAAATAATGCACTATCCGCCAGCCATTGTTGTAAGTATCAGTCTCTACTTCTTAATTTCAACATTTTAGTACAATGGGGAGGTGCTGTCTGTGAGACGCATCTCCAGTCATTAAGCTGTGATATAATTTAACCTGGCTCAACTTAAGAGAAAGGCAAGCGAAATGTAAACCTCACGTGGGTATTTCTTGAATGATTCAACATGCGATTTATTTTTGTAAGAATAAGGATATACCGAATGTTTGATACTAAGACGTTGGTGAGTGTGCCATTATCGCTAAATATCGCATTAGCTATTCATATATTCATAGAAGGCTATATCAAATCTTATACGTAGATAATTACATAAACTATCAAGATACACAGTTGGAATGTAATTTAGTTTAATAATGGAATCAGTTATGCAACGAGCAAATACACTTCAGGTTAACTGCATAATCTTACAGAATGGATATATAAATGCTAACAGATATGAACAGAATGAGATAGATAGATAGATAGATAGATAGATAGATAGATAGATAGATAGATAGATAGATAGATAGATAGATAGATAGAATCTCTTTCTATTAGTGCAAACATTAGATTCAGCAATCATATTTTTTCCGTTGCATTCAAAGTGACTTGGTAAAATTAGAGCTTTACTACTAATGAATGTTATAATATCTTACTTTTAGAGACGATAACTCCTTGCCGTTGTCATGTAAGACATGATTGGAAAGCACACGCACCGGCTTCCTAAAAATATAGTTGTTTTGGTTTGGTTTGGTTTGTTTTGTTTTACGGCATATCAACCTCAATGGGTTATTTAATGCCGACAAAATTTTTATTGCTGATAATATGTTTTATCTATCTATCTATCTATCTATCTATCTATCTATCTATCTATCTCAGTATATATTGTTGGGTTTATTTTGTTTTACGACATATCAACGTCAATGGGTTATTTAATGCATGCAAAATTTTTATTGCTGGTAATTTTTTTTTCAAAAATGTATAGCTGGTAAATATGTATTTCTGGTAATAATTTTTCTTCAAAAATTTATTGCCGATAATAATTCTTTATAAAGTATTTCTGGTATTAAAACCTATTTTTACACTTTCATAGTGTTTTGAATTCAGATTGGTGGCTAACTATTTACCTATAGCTGGGACCCTAACAGATGCTACCACCCCGGGTCAGGGTGGACCTGGGAACACCAGAAATTAAGAGGTGGTTCCTTACTTCTCAAAACCTCCTGATCAGAGGCTTTGCTGTTGGGCGTAGTTTATCGTCTTATACAGGAGGCAGATGTTATCGTCATAAACCGGACGGGTGACTGTTTTGTCGGGGACAGACAAAAACACATCAGAGATCTCACAAAGAGGCTACTGGAGCAACGCAAGATCCATGGCATAACGACTGTTTAACACACCGTAAACGTTATTTTAGTGGCCACCCGTGTTTGAAATAAACGACCTAATTTTATTTAAAACAGTGTGTATTAGATCTATCACTCTGAGAGTATTAGGCCTGAGTACTCGGGAAATCTCTACAGCAGTGTTCGACTCTTCGTCCCCCTTTGTAGGAGAAACCAACGTTTGTATCATCGTGCTTTAGAGTTATTGGCGCGGTATTCCTAGACGGACTTTTACTTCTTGTCATTGCTATGACCTTGTTAGTTCGGTTTTCTATTCTGGGGTTATTGATTCTATAGACAAGACTGTCTGAGTTGAACATCCTCTTTAAATAGGGAATACGGAGGAAAAGTGAGTGATTCGACTCCGTGGAGGTAGCCATGCACGTCGTAACAATAGGGATCATCGAAACTTTTGCAATGCAAATAGAGAGAGGCTTGCAACTTTGTGTCTGTGTTGAAAGCGGCTATAAAATTGATAAAAATTATTCCCCTACAAGACAACAAAAAAGATTTTGAATTCTATTAAGTCTTGAAAATGAGGACTGGGCATCTCCAATCTATCTGTGGTAGCAACACTCCGAAAGTAATGAATCCTAATTTATTTTGTTGGCCCAGCTTTTCGGCACACTTTTCATTTGAACTTTCTGATAGCAAATATGAGGCATTCTGGCCAAAATGGCGTTTGACATGAAAATGCATAAAACAGTATCCATTTCTTTATGCAGAAAACCCTGTCGTGCATCCATTTAGATTCCTCAGCGTTTGCTGAACATTTAAGGAGAACAAACACTAGACATGGTCACTGTCAGATAGTTGGTTACGTGTTT